GGGGAGGAAATAAGGACACATGTCACAGATCACTGTTGCACTAATCTACTTTCTGGCCTGTTTTAGGTTTATCCCACCACAATGCGAGCCGTGGGGATGGGAACAAGTGGGTCATTGTGCCGTGTGGGAGCTATGGTGGCCCCATTTATATCACAAGTAAGAGCACGCTTGATCATGTTGGTAAACATTGTGCCAATCATTGCACCAATCATGGCTGTCAAATATACATCGAGATGCCCTTGAAGTTCACACACACACACAAAAAAACATGTATTCTATTCCCCCCAGCTCACTAGTTCTTTATCTGATGTTTATACAGAGTACTTCTGTGATGTATGCCAGATGCACAAAAATCTCTTCCCAGAGCTTGGCTTGCTAGTATTTCTTACTTTCTGAAAGCTTTTGGATTCACAAGACATTGTTTTTCTGTTATCGAGTCTCTCACATGTTGGTGACCCTTTGTCCACTCTTTAATTACTAATTAACTGCCAGCTCCACCCCGACCACTGAGCTGATGTTTGAACTGTTCATTTACCTGCAGGTTCTTATGAGTGCTTCTTTCCTTGGGGCCCTGTGTCTTTTCTCATCGGTGTGCGCCGTGTGTGCAATCTCTGCGTTCACACTGCCCATCGAGACCAAGGGCAGGGCACTGCAGGTTTGTGTTACCGCTCCAGGAGCTCCCGTGTATCCAAAAGCTATTTAGAAACTGGTAGATTACGATTCAGCCAGAATCCAAACCAAACTGCCCTGAGGGTTCGTAAGCCAAAATAAGGCCTAACAGGCAAGCACAGGAACGTGCTGTTGCGGCAGCTTCACCCCAGCTGCCTAAAGCTCATTTCTCATAAAAGAACAAACCAGAAGGCCTGCCCTAGCCCCAGCTCCCTCATGTCAGCATGCTAGCCTCAGCTAGTGGAAGCCCCTCTTTGCTAGTATCTCCAGTCCTGACTTGAAGTTGCTGCTTCACAGGCACATATGCTGTCCTGCCTGCGCTGTAGGAGAAGAGGACAGCAGATAAAAGTAATATCTTTAACTACTAAAGCCATTTCTTCATCAAATTCAAATCATAGAACCCTAGAATCTTTGGGCTAGAAGGAATCTTTAAAGGCCATCTAGTCCAATCCCCCTGCAGTGAGCAGGAACATCTTCAACTAGATCAGGTTGCTCAGAGCCCCGTCCAACCTGACCTTGGAAACATCCCTCATGTTTCCAGGGATGGGGCATCTACCACCTCTCCGGGAAACATGTGCCAGTGTTTCACCACCCTCGTTGTGAAAAATTTCTTCCTTAGACCTCGTCTAAATCTGCCCTCTTTTAGTTCAAAACTGTTACGCCTTGTCCTATCACTACAGGTCCTGCTAGTCAAAAGCAAAGTCAAAAGCACCAACTGCATCGGTCTGTTAGCTAAGCCCTTGCTACTGTTTCCTATAAAGCCATCAGCCAAAACACTAAGTACAAAGATTAAGGGGGGCGAAGTTTAAATTCAGACAGCCTCCCATGCACAAGTCGCACCAGTTTAATTACAGGAGGTGGTGAGCAGTTCTGCGACTCCAGTCGATTCAGCTATACCAGCATGGAAATTTTCACATCACGCATGCAGCACGCCCACATCACACTGCCTGTTATTCTGCAGTCTCACCTGTATAAACCAGAAGACCGTGGACTAAATAACCCACATTCTTTCGCAGGCTAAAGCAAGACAGATGTTTGATCAAACTCTTTTATATGGGCTTCAGAACCAGACTTTAAAAAAACCCATATATACAATTGGGTGTGTATATATATATATACACACACACACACGTATTACATATATGCACACACTTAACTTCATTGGGTCACATCTTCTAAGTTTTCCCCAAGGTGCATGGGATAGTTAACCTTACAGTTTTCAGAAAAGCAATATATTAATCATTGCCTGTTTCTTTAAATGCTTGCCTTTTAGAAATGTTTGTCTGTCTTTTGTGTTTTTATGCCATTTAAAGTATCTATATGATATTCTGTAAAAGACTGGGGGGAAAAAAATAACCAAAGTTTAAGTAAGGAAGTGGACAAAACAACTTTTTCTTTCCTTGTGGGTGAAATTCAACCCTATGCACAGAGAGCAGAGGCCACTTAGGTCCTTGAATCATTGGATTTACAATAATTACTACGCCAAACACTTCATTAAAACTGCTTTAGACCTAAAAGGAAAGCTTTGATTCAGGTACAGTTGGATTAACTTTGGCTAACAGTGGTTGAGAGAAATTGGAGTGTAATGATTCCTTTTCCTGGGGATTTAATTCAATAGCATTATTATCCTCCTCGCCAAAATAAGAGTTATAAGCTCCAGCTGCTGGCCTTTACACGCACAAGTCAAAAGGACGGAAAAATAAAAATCTGCACAAAAAACTAGATTTGTACTCAGAGAAGCCACCATTAGATCTTAAATTCAACTTGCTAACTTATATCTCATGGTCATTTCAGAGATTACATTGTGTACGTAGTCGTTCAGGGATTGCTGAATCATGACTGTTGAATGTATCGTCCAAGGGCCTCACACAGTACAGTCATCCAATCCATACAAGAATTTAAATACATGATGTAAAAGCTCTTTTAACATGTCAATATTTGGGCCTAAAGCTCCAGGCAATAGATGTGCTGCTTAAAGCTAGGTCTAAATGAATCAACTAAAAAAAAAAGTAACATTTTTTTGAAATCTAGACAATGACATTTAAAAAGCATATCTACTCTTGTTTCAGTTTATTAGGACATTAGTCCATTCTTGAAGCAGTCATGGAGACTGCCTATCAATCAGAGGCGAGACCTTTTGGACATATCCAAATGCGTATTATTTTCCCCTGTATCCATTTCTGTTGGTCTTCATGTGCATTTTATTAATTTTATGTGTTTTTTTTCTTTCTTTTTAGCAAGTAAAATGAAAGCAAGTGTTTGATGTTGGATTGGGTAGGAAGGAGAAATAAACCTTTGGAATCTGTCATTTCCTCTGAGCTGCATTTGATGTTGATTGCTTCTCCATGCCATTTCCATTATTAAAAATTGCAAGTGAACAGTGTAAGAGCTATGATTTGTATAGACAAATGGCAAATTTCTCAAGGAATTTCCCTCTCTTATGATTCAATAAATAGATGCTTTCTACCTGTCCTGTGAAGTGAGATGAAGACTCTTTACTACTAGGGCTAAAAAACCAAAAACAAAACCAAAAAACAAACAAAAAAAGAAAACAGCCACCTTTCAGGATTGAGGCAAAGGGGGGAAAATACACAAAGTACATACGGTCTTTGCCATAGCATCTTGAAAGAACACAGTACTTTCCTTTAAAAACAAAATAGCATTCCTCAACTATTTGTGTGTATACCATCTGCATTAAAGTAGTTAAATTTAACATCTCAAACCTCATTGCAGTGACAATTTCTGAAGATTCTTAGGGTGACGTTCAAAGCCACAAAATTACAGTTGAGTCAGAGTATTTAAACAGAGACATTTTCAAACAGTTTACAGCAGACAGGGAAGTAACTGGACTGTAGGAGTACGCTCTTCATCTCAGTATTTTCCACTGGGAGAACAACTTAAGTGTGAAGCTGTGTTGGTGTCTAACTTCACCTCTAAATGCACTGAGCCTCCTAATAAACCTGTGCTTGCAACTTACAGTGCACAGAAACACACAGCACCTTCCTCTGGAAGCACTGTTATACTTGCTGACAGAGTATCAAGAACTTCAAGGCATTGCTAGATCTTTACGACTTCAAATGTTGCAACAGCAGTGCCTCTTAATTTCTTAAGTCTGTGCTACCATAGCACAGTGCACTGATCACATCTGTTTTGTTAGAATGGTCTCCCTCACCTCCTGTTCTGCTCCTTCACCTCTCTTCCTTTTTTTATGGTACTCTGGGATGGTAAAACTCCTGCTAAAAAGCAACTCTCTTCAGGTAATATAAACTTTCCACACACACACACAAAACCCAGACAAAACCAAAAACGAAACAAAAAATAAAAGAAGGGAAAAGGGAAATGGTTACTCCCGGCGGTTTAAAACTCAACCACATGATCATGGCATTTCAAAAGCTATGTCAAAGCCCTGCTGCAAACCTAACTGACTGTTCTTTTGAAGTGCCCACTACATTTAAGTGTGCAGTGCCACCCTATGACAAAGGCAGGTGGGCAGTATCTCACCTGGTGAGTGGCAAAGAAAGGACCTTTTTCTGAATGCCTACATGTACATGGCAGGGAGGCACAAGCAGCACTTGTATCTAGTCTCTTCAATGATCTGTCCACAGCACCACATCAGCGCTACACAGCAAGTCAAAAGCAGGCTTGTGTATGCTTGGATGTCTTCACAATTCCATCTGCAAAATTCTGGCACAATCTGAGCTCAGTTAATCCAAAAGACTGCCTGCTCTCCTGAACACTCAGTTTTCATTTAAGATGACATAAATGAAGAGCATAAACTAATAGCTGGAGCAACCATAGACAAATACTTCTCTAACTCTGCAATCTCTGAGGGCAGAAACAACCATCTACATTGTTGTCAGTGCTTCTGGAAAGTAGACAGGACAAAAAAAGGTAATTTGTCCTCACCTTCTGGTGATTTAAACAGGGACAGATGAAGAGTTGAAGGGCAGTACCTGTCTTTTTTCTCTGCCTCTTCAAACTTGTGTACTTCCAAGTGAATAACAATGCCGGTTGCATTCTGACAACAACCTATTTAGAAATTTGGAAAAACAACATGAGCTTGCGGACAGAAAGGATGCTTTTTTCCCCTCACTAAACATAAACAAAGACTGACTCATAGCTGCAAGCAAACATGTTTCCCCTTGAGATTTTTCCATTGACTTCATTAAGCAGAGGTATGTCAAACTTGAGACACCTGTTAAACAAAATAGCACAGGAATATCATTGTTTCTTGCTGGTAGTGAGAAAAATGGCGCAATACTAAGTATTTTGTCCTTTACTTCCTCCATTAAAAACTCTCAAACAAATTCTTTTTTTTTTTTTGTTTAAGTTATTTTTAATACACTCTCCCTTACATTTTAGAATTACCAATAACTTCTTTGGGGGCAACTACGCTTTCATTGTACCAGTCAGTATTGCAGGACAATAATATTACACCATCTGTTTTCATGGCTTGTGTTAAATACAGTACAAAGAAATCAAATTATGGCCAGCCACATGCCTTTGGTAAAATTAAAAGTCTGGTGAGATCACATTTTCTTCAAACTCAGAAAGCCACATGTTGAACCCATGTAATGTTTTAAAGTTCAATCCTATACAAACTTCTTTTCTTCCTCAAAGTAAAGTTAAACAGCTGTCACTCCACGCAAATGGTAATTCCTGTGCTGTTCCAGAAGTACTATGAAAGTTTGGAACTTCAGAGCTCTCCACATGTCTTGACCTCTGTTAGATTTGTGTTTCAGAGAAAGGGTAGAAAGTCTAGTAAATATCCACAAACCTACAAGTCAAAGTAGTCATGATTTTTCGTCTTTTCACAATTAACAGTGATAAATATTCTTAGTTTTTAAAAAACGTTCCGTAGTAACACATGCAGCTCATTTAAGCAACTGACGGTCCTCTGCTTTGAGGCGTTTTTTCCGGGGCTGTACGAAGTCATCATCCGAGTCATCAGTAAGTTCTGGATTATCTTTTTCACTCTGGCAGTTGGGTTGTACAGGGAACTTTCTCTCAGGATAAAGGTTCCTTAGAAGTTCTTCAAAGTATGCTTCAAGTTTCATGCCAGCATCAGCTACTTCTGAATCAGGCTGTTGGGTGAATTAACAGAATTAACAACATCAGTGCATCATGAAATAGCTTTATACTTTGATCACATTAGGTCTTTTAGGTGCTTTTACAAGCTACCCCCCCAAAAAAAAAGTATCAATCAGCAGTAAGAATGGCACCTGTGGGACACATGGTCCCAAAAAGCACAAACCTGCAAAACAGAGGGCTAAGATAGATCTTTTAGCCAACACTCCCAGTGACTTTTTTCTCTTATGGCAATTACAAAAGCTGTACTACCTGGGTTCTGAAAGCTATATATATTCTAAAAACTCTTCAATCCTGACTGAAAAAAAAAGTTGGGTTATGCTGTGAAATATATAGGTATGCCTTCAAGGTGTTGAGGTGTTTTGGAACGACTGCTTGAAATGGTAGAACTTCTCTAGCTTCTAGACCTTTTTTAATTACAGTGAAAATATTACTGGGATAGATGATGATCGTGACCTGGAAAACTAGGCAGTGCTAAGTCATTCATAGCCACCATAGTCGAGCAGTTTCCTGAAGCGGAGGTCACCATGGCAGTAAGTATTCCAAGCTACCAAGGGTGACTGGATGAGAACCCCGCTGAGGCCACTTAAGAGAAGCCTTATTTCCAGTCTAATTCCCTCTCATTTTGTGGTCCACTCAGTACCTGCATCCCTTTTTCACCATGTCTTCCCTTACATGCAGTGAGGGATAATAACAATCACTCAACATGCAACTAGAAATCGTAACGGTGAGTACAGACCTCCCAGAATAAGAATCCCACCGAATTTAAGATTTGAGGCAAGGAGGATTAAACCAAATTTTTAATCAGATGTTCACCATTAACTTCTACGATAAACTGTGCTATTCTTTACCTGCTGTCCTGCCATTCAGCTAGCATGTTTGTTACAATCCTCTTTCCTTCTGTGGAAGGATCTACACTGCATACTCATCTAACACTGCAGTAGTTTCAAATGTGATCTGTATTTTCACTGCATTCTCATCATCAAAATACAATAAATTCTTGTGTTGTAAGATTTAATCCCACCACAGTTTTCTGAAAGCAACTAAGCCTACAAAACCAGGTAAAGTATCTGCTTTTCTGACCTCATTAAATTCAGCACAGTTTTGGAAAATCAGTCTGAAATCAGCCACAAAATCTTCTGGTTTTGTGTAGAAGGAATTGGTCACTTCAAGTCTTTTCTTGATGGTTGACAAGTCCATAGGCTTTTTGATTATTTTGTAGTAATCAGGAACCTAAATGGAGAATAAAATTTTTTATTGAATGCAGTCATGTTCATTATTCATTGTTTTATAAACCTTTAGCTCTGAGGGAGAGGGCAAGATTTAGTCTCATCTTCAAAATACAATTCTAAGATATAAGAATTGTACTTTTAACATATATGCAGACAGTATGCTGGTTTTGCTGGCTAAAATACACTCCTCCCAATGCCTATTTTAAAAGAAAAGAAAAAAAAATAAAACCCCACCTACATTGACTACCTATGACAGAGCAAATGACTTAGACATTATTTTTGTATGTAGTCAAATGAGCCATCTATTTAGTTTCACTCTCAAGACCATCACATCATAACTTTGGCAACCCACTCAAATGGAGGCAGTACATGGGTTGCTTAAAATGAATTTTGGTTATGAAATAAGTCTTTGGAAATGGTGGCAAATATCAGAGATATCAATAATTTTAGCATCTCAAACTGTGGTTGTAGCATTAAGATTTATTCTTTCTTTTAAAAATAAGATATGAAATCTAATGATAATATTTTCATATTTTTCCTAACTAGATTCACATTTTAAGAGAAATACTATAATACCTGAATTTAGTAATACATGACCATCATATGATTAATTAATTAATCTCTTTTGCCCTTTCTTATTATTAAATTCTATGGAATGTTCTTCAAAAGAAGAATTCTTACTCAAATAGAATAAAAAGGGTGCATAGGAGCATATTACTTATTGATGAATTCTCTTCCCACTGACTTGTCTTGAACATAATAGAGGTACTTTTCATCTGATTATGCTGGTAGCTCTTTTGTATATCCTTAGACTTCAGTTTGATAGTTTTAGTTTTGTTTTGTTTTTTTAAATGGTTACAGCACACAAGTAACTTTGTCCTCCTTCCATTGTCTCATGCACCCAGGTATTGTTTACCTTTTAAAACTACTAAACTTCAAATTAATAATAAACAAGAAATTCAATTTCACATTAATACTGTGGAGTAGTCTAATTCTCAAAATCAGGTAGTTTTTTTTAAAAACATATCCCAATTCATTTTTTTTTAGTGACACCACTCAGCGTTGTGAAACCAGCAGGCAGTGTTAGTACTTACTTTTTCTGTCTCTTTTTGAAATATTAAGTAAAATCAGTTCTCAGGGAATTCCCTGGAAATCCCCTTCCAACCCAATGCTTCAACTTTTAACTCCCCTTCAGACAGTTTTAATAAAATTAAACACTGTTAATACACTCAGTGTCTGGGAAATTTGACTTCTGATAATGGACTGTGATTGAATGTAAAAACGTCCTTAGAAACACACCAATTATAAAATGGAAAGAAGTGCAATACATACTGTGGGAGGAACTGGATCTTGAAAAGCAAGACTCATTTCATGACAGTAGAGGTATAGCAGCAGCCTTTCACACTTCTATGTCAAGAAAAATAGATACTCAAGTAATTAGAGAATCTTATATAATTTGTTCTAAAATTACAAACTACAGAAAATACCAAACAGATGCTCAATACTCCCGGGCCCCTAAGCAGAAAAGTGAGCACAGAAACTTGTATTTGGAAGCAAGCTTAACTCTCATAACCAATGGCCTACAGTATTCCTTCTCTGCAACAGTTACATCATTATCAACTCTCAAATGCATGCTATACAGCCTCATACAGTTACTAACAGTGTTATTCAGCATTTGCTGAGCCCAGCAGACATTTCAGGGAATAAAAAAACCATACATAGCTTTTAGCACTTCACAAATATTCAGAGATATCAGTAATTTCTGTGATTCTGTAATATTTTTCCTGATCTGGGTATAACTGCTCTGTAACTGCAAAGCCTACAGTGCTTTTTGTTAGCAGTGCGAAGGAATATTTTTTCTTTGTGTATCCAAATATATTAAATCAGATCTTGAGCCTTGAAAGATTCTAAAAACAGTTTTGTGTGATTTTATGCTTGTTGATCCTTTATCAGAATATTTACAGGACTTATAACTTACATTCTTATAACTTACATTTAAAGCAAATAGCAGCACATGTAAATAATGGTTCTACAGGTAGTCTAAGACCCCAAATAGAATATTAATTTCAGTGTATTTACACAAGTTGCCAACTGAAACCAAGTAAAACACTGCTGAAAGTTTCCAATAGAGCTCAAAATTATTTAAAAAAAGTTTTAAAAAATAATAAAACAACTACAAAGAAATAAGAAAAATCAAAAAAGGCAACCCCCACCCTAATTTCCAAGAATCCAAAAGATTCTGTCAAGCAGTTCAACTGTCTGCTCAAAGGCACAATTTTTTTCTTTGAACTCTGAGGTTTAAGGGAAAAACAAAAGTTGGAGACCCACTGCTTGCTTTGTAGCTTTTCCACCAGAACACTTAAACTTGCAAAAGGGTAGCAGTTATTCCCAGAGAGTTAATCTCTGCAAGATCAGTATTGCATCTCTGTATATCTTCATTATGAATCACTGTAATTTTTTACAAGGACATTGACAAAGTGCTTTAAAGACATTATTAACATCAATTCATGCCAAATTTGGAAAGCACAAAGAAAAAAAAAATCTCGGTGCAATGTCACAGTGTAAAAGAGCTCTGTTAGAAATGGCACTTGGTAATACCTAGAACACAATCCCAGTTCAGAACATCAGATCACAACCACTCTCATTCAGAATGTGTTGTGCAGCATGTTTACATGAAGGCTGCTATGATCTCAGAGCTTATTTTAAAAGTTAATTCTCCTTTTTTACCATCACTTTTTAAAGATGCATACATTTCAGAACAGTAGCAAGGCAGTGTTCTTTTTATCCTTACCCTACGGTCTATTGGTGTCAAACCCACAGTGTCTTCCAATTTTCTTTTTTCAGAGCTGAGAGCAGGTTTATCACAGTCATATTCAACTTCTGGCTTGGATAAATCCCGACAGAATGTACAAATCCACTCTCCACTAAAGAAGACAAACAGATGCATTGACCTCAGTGATGTAGCACACACTTGACAAAAGGCTTTCCACATATTTCTGGGTAAGCTCCTCATTTGTGGGGTGTTTTTTTCTGCATTGTGTGTAGTTTTGTTGGTAGTGGTTTTTTAAGCACTACAAAAGGAAGAGGCTGCTGGCAAAAGTGCTTTATTAGAACTTCATTTCCTTTTTAATGGCACTGGTGTTTAGCAGGCATGTTGGTGTTGGGTTGATGGTTGGACTTGATGATCTTAGAGGTCTTTTCCAACCTGAATGATTCTATGATTCTATAACAGAACAATAGTTTGTCATAATAGACAAATGGTGTCTACCATGGTTAGTACTGAAATTTTTCACTTGAGCTTACAGGATTCAAGCAAAACACTATGTAGTTAAGAAACAAGACTCTTAAGAGAGACTGAAGGAATTAGCCAAACAAGGAAAAGCGTTAGCGTTATATGGCGAGAACTATATATTCTCTCTACAAGCTTGACCTACAACTTATTACTACTCTATATAGATTACCCTAGACAAGTATTTTTGGAAAACTGCAAATTCTTCACTCCCTAAAACTTTCAGATGTTCCAGATTTTATCAGTTAGTCTGGGAAAATCCTATGGATTTAAATGACAGCATAACATTGTGATAAAATTAGTTCTGGAAGCTATGTTCACTGATCCTCCAATACAATTTGTGAACCTCAAAGTTTTAAAAAACCTATGAAGAATCTACGTTTCTAATACAGTTCTCCACAAACGAAGAAACTTGCATATTTGCGGATAACCACAAGAGGGCTGAATTGTACTTCTTACATAGTAGACAGAATTCAGCAATAACGTATTATGAGATCTGACTGCATGTATTTACTCAGAGAAATGTTATAAGATCTTTGTAAATGGGAAATAGTTTCTGCAGCACCTTTTAAAGAATTTTGATAGTAAGGCAGAAGACTTTCCAAGTTTAAAAAAAAAAATCTTACTGTTTTTTATTTGGAGTAACCCAAAGATTTACACCATGTGCTAGTTGTAGTATACAGTAGTGAATAATGGGCATTTTCTTTCAGAGAGTCTTTTACCTTCTACTCTCTTAACTTGATGGAGTTAATTATATGATGGTGTCACCTCTGTGCCTGGACTAGCATCAGAGCAATGATGTGGTAGATATAAAAAAATAGATATAGGCCATGATCTAAAGAACTTATGATACAAGATGACAGAAAACACATGAAAGATGGAGGAATGATGCATTTAAATATCTAAGAATCAGGAAGTTTGCTGCATAGAATTTCCAAGTTGGAACATTGCAAAATTCCATTTATTCTAATCAAAGACATTAATTCCAGAAGCAAATACCAGTAATGCTTATAACAACAAACTACTTAAGACTGTATTTTGAAACTCAAGAAACTGAGTAGTTGTTTTGTAACAGCCAATCAAGAAAGCCTACTGCTTGTTTCAACACTGAACAAGATGTTATTAGAAGATGTCAGTCACTACATCCCATGCTTGGAATGTAGCCATGTTTAGCACTATAGTAAATAATATATTTAATACTATATTAGCTTAGATTTTTCTTTAAGTTGTTATTATTATTACTAAAATGTAAATATTTTCTGTCACCCTTAAAACATTTTATGACAGATTGGCAATTCTGTGGCCCAATTTTACTAACAGATGCCTAGATGCAAGTGGTCTTGCTTAATTGCAAATAAGCAAAGAATTTTACTACAGATTTTGCAGCCACGATAAAGTTACACTGAAGTTTCAATGCAAATTCCGATTTTCACCAATTAATAAAACTTCCGGATTCAAGACTTCAAAGATGACACTTCTTCCTTTGAGGCCAAAGCTTCGTGTACTGGGTTTCACAGTACAAAGCTTCTATCTTTTAATGCAAGTTTAGATAGAATTGAAGGGTTCATAATTACCTTGGAAAGCTCATCAATGTAGGGACATGACAAGAAAGATGGAATACTTTGGGACACTTCTCACAGCAGAGGAGCTCTCCTCCGTTTTGACATACTGCACACCAGTCTTCATTGGGATCATCCTCTTTTCTGCCCTCCCCAATGTGGGGGGGGCCTATCCATCCTGTTTTCCCACTGGAAGTGTTCTCCTGCAGTATCCCTGGTTGATCATCTGTGCTGTCTGGTGCATCTGTTCTCAAGACAGTTTCATCAGAACTGGAATTATGATTGCTATCTAACAGCAATGAAGTAAGTATGCTTCTTGAAAAAGTGGCCTGTAAGAAGAAACAAAGGAAGCCAGATTATAATATTTATGTGAATTTACATGACCGTTAACAACAAACTGACCAGAATAACAAATTTATATGCAGCCATACAACTTGCAACAGGCACGAAAAAATTACTATCATACTATAGCATCAGGCAACTAAACACAAGAAATTAGCAATGAAAGGCTATTTACTGCTCCACTAATAAAAAATAAAACTAATCTTCGATGCCCCAAAAGTCTAGCAACCTTATTTATGTACATTACTGCACTATGATTAGAAACACTTCCTAGCACCACATGAAAATTTGATGTTTGTGTGGGGAAATAACAAAGGATTGGTGAGGATTGTAGACACACTCAAGTGACTTGCAGCTGGGGTGTAGAAAAACACATATACATGGTACTAACTGTTGTTTACTCTTCTGTGTTTAACAAGTAGAATATCTGTGTTTAGATAATAAAGGTCTGTGATAGACTTAGAGGCAGTTGATCGAACATGCCAGAGATTCCTGCCCTGCAGTGGGAAAGATCAAAGCACAGTGATAAACTACACCTGCGTGAATCCCGGCTATACAGGCGAAAACAGCAGGTACAGTGATCCTCTAGCATGGACCCAGCTTTGCGGTGCCCACATCCCCGCTTGTGTGCCTCTGCCCAGGTGCTGCTTTGGGGATCCCCCAAGTTGGCAAGGTAACGAAAATAAATTTACCCTTTCTATCCATGGTTTTCTGGTTGTTTCCCTGTCCTGCCTGTAATTCTTACAGGCCACAGTTTGCAAGCTATTTGTTTCCTGCCTTCCCAAGTTTTCATTGGATAAAATGGGGCCGGTCTGGGGACGGTCTTGTTTGCTATCTTTATTGATGATCTGGATGAGAGGAATCAAGTGCTCCCTCAGTAAGTTTGGAGATG